GCTACCATTATATGTATGATTCCATTTAATCCCTACTGCCTGGCACATAATAGCTGCATAATACATACTGAAGGAACGACTATTTTACTGATGATAAATGTTTGTTCAACCCTTTAAACTGCCAGACAGGGCTACCAAGAGTCAGGTGCATAAAAGAAAGCAAACGTTACTTTCTTGAAACACACGTTATCCATCATATTTTAAAGCAGTTCTTCAGACCTTTATTACTTGTTTGGATTATACAGGCAGCATTTGCACATGTTATAAATGAAGTACATTTTATATTGCTATGTACATGGATAGCTTTAAGTCTCTTTCTAGGCAAGTGAATCTGACACATTTCACTTTGAGCTGAATTGGAATGCTTCCAAAACGCACTTTCAGATGCTGCAAATGCACCTCATTTCTGGTGCCTCACTGTCTATGCAGAAAGCCTTCTTCTCCCTGGGGGAAAGAGTGGAAGCGAGAGAGAGCGAGAGAAGGGAGAGGAGAAGAAACTGTCAAGTCAGCGTCAGCAGTGCAGTAGTGAGGCATTCTTTCTTTTGTTTTGTTCAATCCTATTGCTTACCCTTTTTTAGCCTTCTAAACGGAGAGAACAGCTTATCACTATCCAGGGCCACGTTTTTGATAGAGGACAGGGCATAGAAAATTATGTGGGTGGCTATGTCTAAATTCTCCCAAGGATGGTACTAAGAATGGCACATAATTAGTACCATTCTGGATGCATACACACGAGTTAATTCATAACTAGTACCATTATAGATGCATAGAGTTAATTCGTTACATACAATAAATGCATTAGGGTATTAGAAAACAATTCGCTCACAGAACTGCAGTTAAGAAAGGCTGAGTCATACCTTGGTGCTTAGTCATCTTGTTGATCTGAGTATATTATTCTCTATTGAAGAAAAAAGGTATTTATTTATCTGGCCATAGATAAGAATGCAAATCAAAATCCTCCAAACACACACACACAAAATATATAAATGTGTGTATATGATATTTAATCTATATAATACATATTATGTTCAATATATATTTTATATATAATATATAAATTCAACAAGCTACTGCAAGTTTTTTAACCTAACCAATTCTCAATTTCTTAATTTGAAAATGTGGACTGCAACCCATATAAAGCTGGGGCACTTTGTAGCCTATCTCAACCTGGTGTTTCATCCAGTCCAATATTTCAAAGTAATTGAAAATAAATTCAAATTGTTTATTGAATCCTCTCAAAAACACCAAAAGAGGCTTCAATTTAAATATATGTTTAAAATCCCTCTTACCCCTCTCCATGTATACATCTGTCTCCCATGATTCCATTTTTTGTCACTCTAACTCTTCAAATCACTTCAAACCATCTGCAGACACCTCCTTCCTTTTCTCCTTCTCTCCTCTCACCTTCTGTATTTACTCTTTTCTCTTCCACTAGTAAGTGCCCTTTCCAGTGAAAATCAACCAAGCAAATTTGTTTCCTTTCAGTCTTGTCATTCATTATTCCACATCGGCTTATTAAAAGTCCAGGAACAGAAACGGGATTGGTAGGAGGAGAGGTTGAGAATTCTCATACCTTATTATACATTGCTTTCTCCTCACATGATAATATATACCTTGGAAGATTATAAGGATTGAAAACAATGAATGTAGCACACCTGGTCTGTGCCCAAAGCACTGTAGGTTCTACATAGATGGGTAGAATCTGTTATACTGCACCAGTCCTATAAATATCACAGCCATCACTTCCCCAGGTACAAACAAAGTGTTTGCAGCTCTAAGATAACTTTTAAATTCTATGTTGTTGTGGTTCTATTAAAATATGGGTAAAGATGAGATAAAGAAATACTTATTGCTTCTTTGTATCAAAAAGTTTAAATGAGTAAATATGCCCTGCTGTCAAATAAACTGTGAAAAACAAGAGGTTCTCTCTTTTTAGTCCTACCCTTATCACCATCCACCACCCACAGAACAGTAGTTATTCATTGTTATCAAGAACTTGGAGCACTGCTGTAATGAATACCTAAAACTGGAAGTAGCCTTGGAACTGCTTAAACTTTATAGTGGCTAGAAGTCTTGAAGTCATGCTAGCAAAAGCCTACATTGCTGTGAATGAACCATTAAAAGCAATTCTGGTGAGGGCCCAGAAAGAAAAGAAGAGGGCTGTAGAAAGAGTCTCAATTTTCTTTTCTTTTCTTTTTCTTTTTTTTTTTTTTTTTTTTTTTTTTTTTTTTTTGGAGACAGGGTCTCATTGTGTTGCCCGTGTTGGAGTGTGGTGGCATGATCTCGACTCACTGCAACCTCCGTTT